GTCAAGCATGATCCCTTGCTGGGAGGTGCTGCCTTACAGAGATGCTTTAAGAAGATCCAGCTGGCTCGGAGTGTGATTCATAATGTTGAAGTCTCTCATTTTCTATGTGACCCTACCCACTTAGACATGGGTAAGCTGGGGTGCACCATTGTTCTGTGCAAGGAGGAAATTAAGCTTCTAAAGTTGCAATTCTGAAGTTCCCACCTTGGGCTCATCAGCCGCCAAAGTGCAGCGTGGCTGAGCTTTATCTTTGGTTTCTCAAGTCTCTTTGCTGGAAGAGAGAGAGGGTTATGAGTCACAAGGGTGACTTCTCTATGTTGTGTGGGACAGTCATTCCTGGAAGTAAGACGAAGAAGGATAAGAAGAGGTAACTAACAAGACCTTCCTGGCATGGGCCAGAACAGAGGTTGGTGGTCCTGGGTGGCATGCCTACTTTTGGAGTTTGAGGATTGAAGAGGAAGGTGAGAGAGTCATTGCAGTTGGGAATTTTGATCATCTGACTGGCCATTAGGTCTTCCCCTGTACAAACTGGTCAGCATAGGTCTTTGGATTTGTGGCATTGGCTGGCAGTTTCTTGGAATGCCTTAGTAGCTGTGCTGTCAGTTGTGTGCATGTTTGTGTGGGGGCATGCTCATTTTTCAGGGTTTCTGGCACCTTTTGGATTCTTCTTAATGTGCTAGTCCTGTGCCTGGGTTAGTGGTCACTTGAAAAACTCATCTGCTGATGTTGACCCCTTAACATGGAAAAAAAGTGTCTAACTCCAAAGAAGCAGCCCCCTTGCTGTGCATACCATCGTAATCCACTAAGGATATTGACACAAAGCCATTTATTCATAAATAATGGCTTTATGATTAGAATAGAATTTATTCATAGAACTACTTTGGGAAGTTCTATGTCTGAGTACATCTCCTCAAATTCAGGGAGGTGGAGAGAATTGCTTGATCCATTTTTAAGAAGGTAGAGAGGGCTGGGCACGGTGACTCACGCCTATAATTCCAGCACTTTGGGAGGCCCAGGCAGGCAAATCACCTGAGGTCAGGAGTTTGTAGACCAGCCTGACCAACATGGCGAAACCCTGTCTCTACCAAAAACACAAAAATTAGCTGGATCTGGTGATATGTGCCTGTAGTCCCAATTTCTTGGGAGGCTGAGGCAGGAAAATCACTTGAACTCAGGAGGCAGAGGTTGCAGTGAGCCGAGATCTCACCACTGCACTCCAGCCTGGGTGACAGAGGGAGACTCTCCTCAAAATAAAAGAAGGAAAAGAGGCCAGGTGTGGTGGCTCATGCATGTAATCCCAGCACTTTGGGAGGCCAAAGCAAGAGGATCGTTTCAGCCAGGGAGGTCAATGCTGCAGTGAACTGTGATTGTACCATTGCACTCCCACCTGCGCAATAGAGTAAGACCTTGTCTCAAAAAAAGAGGGACGGGGAGGAAAAGAGAGTGCCCAGGAGTGGTATAGGAACCTGGGTTGGAGCGGGAAAGATTGGATAGTCCGAAGAAGGGATGAAAGTGATGGGAATGTGGGTTGGAGAAGAGGTGATGGTTTAGTGAGAGGTGTCTGGGCCTGCTCACCACGCTTTCTCTGTTTGGGTTTGTGATCTTCCCTCTTCCCCGACAATGGGCTGGCATGGGCTACACTACCCTGTGCACACCTGGAAAAGGTAAGCTTCCTTTCAGGGCTAGCTTTGGGATGCAGTCCTAATCTTCATTTTTGCTTTTGTTGGCAATGATGCTTTCAGCTGCCCAAAAGAGCAATTTAGTCTCTCTGATGTGGAAGCTTGTTTAGGATATGTTTCTGTCAAAGAAGTTATTTTTCATGACTCTAATATCATAAAGAAATCTGACATTTAGAAAATCTCAGGGTGGGGAGGGTGGTTCTCAGGAGTGGTAGCCACACAGACAGCAGCTGCCCGTGGAGCTGCCGCTTCCTGCTGTTGTGTTCAAGACAGAGCAGCTGCCGGCCTGTCAGCACCCCAGGGAGTGAGGCTCAGTGCCAGGCTGCCTCCCTTACTGCGTGGATGGCCCAGATCATGCACACTGTGGTGGAATAGCAGACTCAGGGGGCTGCTGCTTGGACATGCTGGCAGTTCCCAGCTTATGTTTCAGCAAAGCTTGGAGAGTCACTGCGGGCTTGGTAATGGGGATGACGCAGAACACTTCCCTAGCACTGCCTTATGTTTGTTGTTGGTCCTTGTGCATCTGATGGCCTAAGCTGGTTAATTTGAGACTTGCATGAAAAAATAATGCCTCGTGGACTTTTTCAAGGGCACTAGGTGACTGCTTTAAAGAAGAGGTCAGAGGTTCTGTCCTCCAAAGCTATCTTTGGGATTCAAGAAGTGAGAGGAAAGAGCCAGTGGAGACAAATGTCTCTCCTTTTGTTTGAAGGCTACTCAGACAACTGGTGGCTGCTTGGGGAGAGCTGGTGTCACATTTCATTCTGCAGAATGAGAACGTCCTGTAGGCTGGCTCTGTTATTCAGTCATTCTTGTCTGTCAGTGTTGGTCAGAACTTCACTTCTCTCTTCCCACCTTCAGGACTTTTGCACATATAACTTACATTACCCTTTGGTAATGCCCTTTAGTAATCAATCCCTAAATAGTTCATTTAGATGAAAGGGGATAGTGTAAGGGGGATAAAAAGAAGGCATGTCTCTGTTGTAGGGTGGGTGGTTGATATTCCTTACAGTTCACTCTTACACAGACACATTTTATTGACTAGTTCCTGACCGGCCCTATGAGGGTGGTGTTACTGCTGCTTTCTGACTGGTCCTGTGGACCCTGGCAGCCACAGATGAGGGTCCCCACTGTGTGCTGACTTTGAGAACTATGTGGCTGTGGGAGAACAGCTCTCAGTTCTGTGGTGCTCTGAATACACACCCTCCATCTTTATTTTCTTCATTCCTTTAAGTACTTTTCACTATTTTTCTGTTCCAGATGAAGTTGAGTGCCTCCCTCCACTCTGCTGTTACAGTAGTTGTAATGTTGATTTCTACTAAAAATGATATGATCAAACCACACTTCATCTTATTTTCCTTAATAAAGAAAAAAGGAGAGAAATACTATTTTATTTGTGAGTTGGTAGAACAGCATGAATCCCAGGATGTAAATGTTGATCATTTTAACTTTCAAATGATCTAAACACCTTTAAGTAATTTTTGGTCATAGTTTTATTTATTTGTCTGGGCACCGTGGCCCACAACTGTAATCCCAACACTCTGGAGGGTGAGGCAGGTAGATTGCTTGAATCAATCAGTTAACACTTGGTGCATTTGGTAAGAATTGGCTGGCCAGGGAGTTGGGTGTGTCTGAAGAGCAAAGCGAGGCTTTTCTATTCAAGATCAGCATTTCTAATTAATAGTTGTGCGGCCTGCTAATATTTTTCTTTATTTTTCATGCAACATCACATTTAATTTTTATAGCAACTCCATGAAGTGGGTACCATAATCATCTTCATGTTACTAGTGGGAAAACTGAAGCTCAGATTTTTTTTTCATGGCTCTATAGCAGGGATTGGCAAAGTTTTTCTATAATATAAGACCAGAAAGTAAATATTTCAGGCTTTTTGGGCCCATCCTTTGAACAGTATGATGACATGGGGTTAGAGTCCTTTTCTGTGGAGTCATGTCTGGGATGGGAAAGAAGAGGTGAGAGAAAGGGGAGAGTGATGCAGAAGTGTGGCGGAAGGGTGGTGGTGGTGATTTTACCCCAGCTTCCCTGAGGATTGTGCCCTGGAGGCAGTGGGGAGGGGTGCAGGCTAAAGAAACCTCAGAAAGCTCTTGAAGCGGACGCAGTGGTAGTGACTGCTCAGTGAATCTTCGTTTCCGCTGGTATTTCATTCAAATTTTCCCTTATGTTACTGCTATCTGTCGCTTTGTCTCCCTTTCTCCATTGTAAGGGAAGGCCTGTGGAGTACTGATCTGTCTCAGGCATCTCTGCCCACCCCACAGTGTGCAGTGTCTTGCACACCGTAGGTGCTCAAGCACAGTTATTGAACACAGGCTGCATTGACTTATCACCTTCAGCATCCATGCTGCGCAGTGCAATCATCTTCTCCCAAAGAAGTCAGGATTTTTTGGTCTAAAATAGTCACAGTTAACAAAGATACTCGGGAAATCCTGAAAATATGATAAATTTCAGGAGTAAGCAGTTGGACAAGTTGTGGACTTCTGTTGAGGATCTTCTGCAAGATCCACTATGCAACTTTTGTTGCCTGTTTTTCTTTATTCACTCCTTTTTATTAAACTTAGTTTCCTCTAACCCCACTGGAAGCAAGAAAAGCAAACAAACAAACAAAACCTTCGGTTGCTTATCTCCATTGTTGCATAGTAGGTGTTCAATGGATACATACTGAGCTAGTTCATTTCTGATACTAATTTGATTACATCTCCTAAACATTCTTTCTTCTTACAAAATTCTCTGTCCTCTACCTCCCAAATCCCACAAAACTTCTCACTTCCACACATAGGCTGATTACTTGGGAATGGTACAGGAGGCCCTTGGTGATTCTAATTGATGAAAGACTAAAAAATTCCCTTATAGGAGAACTGAAATCAATGTCAATCTGAGATTGAGTAATACATCAAGTTAGTATCAGAAATGAACTAGCTTCAGCAGACTCTTTACATACTCTTGCAGGTATAGGTGCTGAGGCTGAAGCTGTAAGCTTAGAGATTTTGACATACTCTTTCCCTCCTTTCCTTCTTTCCTTCATCAATTACTGAACATTGGTTATGTGCCAGGCATTGGGTTAAGTTCACAAAAAAATACAGTGTCTGGTTTCAAATACATTTATTCCAGTCTAGTGGCGAGATAAAAGGAAGTAGTGGCCATATGACATGAGGTGTGGGCAGCTGGTAAGAACCTCTCCTGGCCTAGGGGGTAAGACCTCCTCAAGGGGTTTGCTGCCAAACTCCTGAATGTGATCAAGAGTAATTAAGGTAACTGTGTAGCTCTGGATGAATTAACAGGTTCTGCGCTTGACTTTCTCTATTTGTACAGGTTGAAGATGTCTGCCCAGAGGTTAATTTCTAACAGAACTTCCCAGCAATCGGCATCTAATTCTGATTACACCTGGGAATATGAATATTATGAGATTGGACCAGTTTCCTTTGAAGGACTAAAGGCTCATAAATGTAAGTTTTATACAATTCCTCATTGTAAGCACAACTTATATTTCTCTTAACCTGTGAAATCCCCAAGGATTATTTCTCCTGAACATTCTGTCTTCTTACAGAACTCTCTGTCCTGTGCCTCCCAAATCCCACAAAACATCTCGCCTCCATACGTAGGCTGATTGCTCGGAAATGGTACAGGAGGGCCTTGGTGATTCTAACTGATGAAAGACTAAAAAATTCCTGTAGTAGGAGAACATGAATCAATGTCAAGCTGAGATTGAGAATTTTAAAAAAGCATTTGCTATTTTAGCTCCTCCAAACTGTGAATGTTTGAACTATCAAAAATATGTATAAAAATAGGATCTGGAACTGTTGTTTGAAGAACTTTCTGTTGTAACACAGCAGCATCTTTTCATCCCAGTTGGTTTTCTAGAGCTGTGGAGAGCAGTGTATCCATGTGTGTTCATAATGACAGGCCAGAATAGCCTGCAATCATTTCTAACCCTGTGTTCTAGGCATGAATTGTGTTTCATGCTATTGGAGTAATTAAGGGTCCAGCACAGAGCAAGGAAATGTAATTCTGTGAGACGTTGCTATTCGACTCCAGTCATAAGTGAATGCTGACTGGCCAGCATGAGACATCCTTGTTTCACTAAGTAGAGTTAACAGTTAACATGGTAGGCAGGAACTGCTGCCCAGTCTCAGGTCCTGTCTTGGTAACCCCGTAAATATCCCTGAAATGTTCGCTTTTGTCAGAGTGAATTATCTACAGCACTGTAAAATTTTTATGTTCTTAACTGGTCCAGGTTAGTGGGACACATTAGGAAATATAAGAGGACTTGGAGACACAAATGTAGCAAAGAAAGCATTTTCATTCCTTTAATTATTTCCTGGCTGCTTCTATCCTGACCTGTCTTGGCATTCATGATCTCTTGCACCAGCTTGGTGCTCTTTTGCAAGAACGGCTTTCTATTTTTGTTCCTTTAGCAAAAATCATTAACTAAACCGTATGTCCTTTACCCCTTAAGTGAGTAGTAATAATTAAATACTTTCACTCATTCCTTTATTGACATCTACTCAGTATTTCTTTGTGGAAAAAAAGCACATGGCATTCATTAAGATATGCTGTCATTGATTATCTGATAGAAGGCTGTTGGGTGTGAAATCACCCTCCTTAATTTACTTAAATTCTTTAATATGTTGTTTTTCTAGGATAACTTTTATGTAAGGACAATTGCTTGTTCTGAATTATAGTGGAAATCAAAATGACTGGGAAAATTGCCACATATTTTCTTGAAATGTGGGCTTTTACAGCTTGGTGACATCAACTTTATTTTTGTGTCAGCTTGCTCCTGTCTCTTTTCCTTAGTATAAGGGGCACAGAAGACAGGCCTACTGCTATAATTTTGGTTGGTACATTTCCAGAGACAATTGAATAAAATCTTTTGTGAGGATATTTCATTCTAGAAATAATTATAGCTGGAAAACTTCCTGAGAAACATAGGCAGAGGTGTGACTCATTCTTTCCTTACTTACACTACCTACTATACCATTAATAACAACTGCTTTTGTTAATTTTAATATTCACATCAAGATAAAACAAAAATTCCTGAATACTTACTGTTCTGATATAAGAGAGCTGATAAGTAGAAGCCCTTAGCTTCAGGAACCTGACAATATGTGAGACACATTGATAACAAAAAACAAACAAACACAAAACCCCAGATATACAGGAAAATGAAAAGATCAAGTCAACTGTTGAAATGTGTGCTTTGGTACAGTCTCTTTCATTTAAAAATGCTGTGATTCTGACCTTCAAGTATGACTCCTTGTTTTGCTGGGCAAAATACAAAGCCAATTAGATGCAGATTCAAAAGAACAGAAGCAGGACATTTCAAGGGGAAGCCCTCATTGAGGACAGGAATGACCATAACAGTTATCTTTATTTGCCTTACCTGTAATGGATCATACTTGGCAACAATAGCTCCATCTTTAGACTAAGTTCCTCTGCTGAAATTAAGATTCCTACCTTCAAAGCGTGTTTCATCTGAGAAACAACCTCAGATAGTCATTGATAATTCTTATGCCATTGGTTTTGAATCCCGTATTAAACCTTATCATGTATCAGAAGTGGACATGTATCTTACACAAATTTGGCACCAACAGAGTAGAAATTTATTTATTCATTCATTCAATATCTATTTATTGAGCACCTGTATGTGCAGTACTATTTTAAGCACTGGAGAGACAACAGTGAACTGAAAAGACAAAAATGTTTCCTCCTATAAAGCTTGCATTCTAGTGGGAGAGACAGACAATAAATAGTTAAATAGATAATGTCAGATGGCAATATAAAAGGATAAATAGAGTGGGGGGAAAGGAATGTGAAGTGTGGAGGTGACAGTATAGATAGAGTGGCCATGGAAAGCCTTACTGAGAAGGAGAGATTTGATAAAAGACCTGAAGGAAGTGAGAGATTGAGCTATAATATATCTCGGGGAAAAACATTCCAGCAAAGGATCCTTGGCGGGAGTGAACTGGATCATGCAAGGAACAAGGAGGCCAGCTTGATACCAAGGGAGTGATAAGAGGCAGAACAGCAGGAAATGAAGTCAGAGAGGCTCTGGGGACATGGACATGGTGGGGGCGCTCAGAGGTCATGCTAAGGACTTTGCTTGGCCTTTTACTCTGAGCAGTTACTTGAGGGTCTAGAACAGAGGAGTGCCATCTGGCTTAGGTTTCAATGCATCACTTTGCAACTGGGGCGTGAAAGGCATGAAATTAGAAGCAGAGACCATTCACGTGGCCTTTGCCATAGTCCAGGCAGCTGATGATGGTGGCTTGGAGCCAGATAGGGAGAGTGAAGTGGTGAGAAAGGCATACATTCTGGATGTTTTTAAAAGACGGATCTGGCAAGATTTGTCAATGGATTGGTGGGGTGTGTAAGAGAAAGAAGAGTCAAGAATGATTTGAAGATTTGTGACCTGAGTAACTGGCAGGATGGAATTACCTTTAACAAATTGAGAAGAGTATGGGAGAAGGAGGTTTCAGAGAGGAACGCCAGGAGCTCCATTTTGGACTTGTTAAATTGAGACACCTATCACATATCCAGGAGGACAAGGGAGGAGAGGGTGGGGGGAAGCTGTAGACTTGAGGGTCATCAGCATGTAAATAGTATGCGTTCAAAGCCAAGAGGCTGGATAAGTGAGTGTAGATAGAAAACGGAAGAGTCCAAAGCTGAGCCCTGGACACGCTTGTGTTTCGAAGTTGGAGGGTTGCATAGCAGTATAGGTGCCTGAGAGGAGTGTACAGAAAGTAGGAAGAAAACTGGGCAATTTTTGTTTTCTGGATGCCAACTGAAAAAAGGGTTGCAAAGACAGTCTGTGTCAAATGCTGCTATTAGGTCAAGTTAATTGAAGACTGAGATTTGACCATTGGATTTATAATGTAGAAGTTACTGGCAATGGTTTGAAAAGCAGTTTTAGTGGGGTGCTGGGGGTAAAAGGTTGATGGAATTGGTTCAAGAAAAAATGAGAGGAGAGAAATTGGGGACAGCATGTACAGACAAATCTCTCAAGTGTCTTGCTATAAAGGGAAGGAGAGGAATGGGTCATCTATGAAGAGCGTGGCTGGGTCAGACAAGGTGTTCTTAAAGCAGCAGAAGCAAAAGCTGATGAGTCAATGAGTGGACAATCACATTTTAGCAGGACCACTCTGACCACTGTGTTGAGAAAAAACTGAAGGAATATCCTCTTAATATGAGGTATCAGTGGTGGCCAAATCCATGCTTTTTTATGTGCTGCCTGGCGGATATCAGACCTATGCATGGATGACTCAGCAAGAAGCCAGGTCATTAGGATGAGAAACAGAACTAGAACTTGTAAAGCTTGGAGTAAGACAGTAGAGACAAGTGTGGGAACATCACTGTTGGCTCTTTGCCAGGAATTCATATCACAGAATTGACCCTAGTGCCTTAGGAACCAAAAGTGGTGTGAGGACAGTGTCATGAACCCTCTCTTTCAAGTGAAGTATTAACCCTTGTTTTTCATATAACCACGAAATGGGAAGTTCACCATTTATTCTCAAGAGGTGGAGAGGAGGGCGAGTTGGATGGAGTAGTTAACCTAGTCCTACCCTAGAATGGGAAGGAAAAAAATCATGTCAGCTTTCAGCTCTCTTGTTCCATTCCATTCACTAAAGGTTAGGTTAAGGGGAGTTACTTTATTATGACACATTCCATTTGCAATTCCCCTGGGCAATTGTTCTACCCCCTTACAATAGTAGTCTCCAAGTAGCTCAGTGTCTAGACAGGACAGACTGTGGTAGCTTGGCTGTGGTGGAAACTCCTTTGGAAGGCTTCTTTTGACTTTCTTAACCATCTAGCCACATTGGAGCTTTGCTCTGTATAAAACTTTATTCTGACTTCTTCCCAGAAAAGGATGCTTTTGGGAAGACAAGGGGCTCCACTTTTCCCATCTTACTGTAGTGCCTATGCCCATGAAACTTAACATGTGAATAAAACTTCAGGAGAGTTTGGATATTTCTGGGATGAGATGGGGATCTCTGACGTTTCTTGTAAGAGGCTCAGGGTGAGAAAGTCCCCTGGGGATGGGTCATAGGGCAGAAGATGAGATTGGGGGAAATTAGTGGAAATAACTTGAGGAAGCTACATTTTGTTCAAAGTGGAATGTGAATAAGCAGAGCTACTTAAAGCATATTGCCATGGAAAACATAGATGCTGCATTATTAAAGAAATGTTTGGAAATGCTGTTGGATCACGAGGATTCTCAGATTCTACCCACAGCCTTCCTCTCCCCAACATTGTCGCCGCCTGACTTCTCTGAAGGCTGTAGCCCTCCCATGCTTCACATTATTACTGCTTTTTGATTAGCTCCCTGGGGCACTTAGAAGGGCAGAGGGAAGGGGGACTGGGCTGGGTTGAGGGCACACTTTCCTCTGCCTCCAGGAGTCAGTCCACCATTTGCAGTGTGAAAGCTGTCCTTAGGAGAACACCTTCCTAGTACACAGATTTGAAAAATGTCAATCAACATGATTCAATTCTAAACCGAAGATTTAAATATAGCATTGGTGTATAATTTTAGAATTTGCTTTTGCTATGCAGGCAGTTGATAAAGTACAGTGCAGGGAACTGTTATTTAATTGTACAATGTTTCTTCATAGTCCACACCTAGATAGTTGAGATTTTGTTGTTTCATGTTAGTTGTACCTCAGTACATGTGGTGTTTGGTATTTGTCCTTGTCTTTTTTTATGCCTCATTTCTACTATATTAAAACGCAAAGTATACAATTTCTATTTCTTTGGCACTTAAGGTTAGACACATTAGTTTTTCAGAGTGCTGAATACACATTGTTAACCTCTAGGCAATAGTATGTGGAGGATGAAAGTATGAATTATGCAGAGTAAATTCTTAATCTGATTTCTTCACTTTGGAAAAAGTGCTACACATACATAATTTAATTAGAATAAAGCTTTGCGTTTAAACACATTTGATATTTAAACTCCAATCACTTATTTTTAGAAAACTGCTAAGCATCCTTAGTGTATTTCCACATAGATAAGCTGCTTAGTATAGGATGGATACACTTTCATTAGCTCCAGGCTGGGAAAAGTTGTTCCAGGCAGGTAGTGGTCAGAGCCCTGGTAAGGTGTGGCTGTGAGGAAGCCATGGCTAAGGTTACGGTAAATACAGGGACACAATGTCTCCTAGTATGATTGGAAACACATGGTTTTTAAAGTGAGGTAAATTGGGAGAAAATGACAATTCTAATGACAGTAGCCAGCACCTGTGGTGTACCGTTTTCTCAGCTGTCAGACATTGTATGAAGTGCTTTACATATGGAATCTCTTTTAATCTGGAAAAGTGGGTCAGTTCTGTTTTTGTTGGAGAGCTTTTCACGAAAGAGCAATATTATCAGGGCTGTGATTAAAGCAGATTTGTACAGAAATAAAGCACAGGGAAAGGCAGAAGGCAGAGAGAGCACTCAAGAGGCCATCTGTATGTTCTCTGCAAGAAGTAATGACAGCCTGAATTATTCCATGGTGAACATAAGTGAGAATGCAAAGTTGCTACCTAATTGAGCTGCTAACCAATAGAGTTTCTGAGCTAAAATTTGGCCCAAGAAGGCCTCCATATTTGCATACTTGCATTCTTAGGTATGAGCTGTGACCTAGCTTACTAGGTAAGCAAACTGAAAACCCAGCGAATGCTTCCATAACAATAGCTGAGTCTCAGCTAATCACACAGCTACACTTCAGGCACTCACAGGCAGACAGCTGTTCAAATGGTGTTCAAATCCAGCTGTTTCCATACCTCGTTTCTTTTTCCTGTACATCATTTTCTTTTTTTCTGTCCCTAAATCTTAACCAACCATGAGGCAGCCCAGAGTCTCTCTGAATCTGTTCTGATTCTGGGAGCTTCCCGGTTCAAGAATTTTGTTTTCCTTGCACAGTTAATATCTGTTAAATTTAATTTGTCCAAAGTTTTTCTTTTAACAGTAGGAATCCAAATGCACTTAAAACTTGAGTTGGTAGTCTGCTAAACATTTTATTTTCTAACTCAACACACATGAGTGGAGTCTTGAGGCCCAAGATAACCTATGCTCTGGCCTAGGTTCCTTCCTTGAGATACGGAAACCATGAGTCAATGAGGCCTAAATCCCTTCGTGCTATCTGAGACAGAAACCTGGAGGCGGAGCAGACTCTTCCCTCCCCGTCATCCTTTCCATCTTATCAATCTCCAGCCAACTGCGGATCAGACTGTTGATTTCCTTTCATGTTTCATGTACCAAAGCCTCTCCAAGAAGCTCTGATTCTTGAATGTTCAAGTTTTAAACTACTGTGAAATACTAATTGCAGTATTAACTGTCTTGCAGATTCCATTGTGATTGGATTTTGGGTTGGTCTTGCAGTCTTCGTGATTTTTATGTTTTTTGTGCTGACCTTGCTGACCAAGACAGGAGCCCCACACCAAGAGTAAGTTTGGGCGGTTCCTAAATGTCTCTTAAGCCTCACAGGAGACTGAGGAAATGGAAACTACTACCCAGGGCTGGAGGTGCTTCCAGTGGATGAAGAGAAGGGGGTGGTTATGGATTTGCTGTCTGAACCCAGATGCCTGTGGATTGGATCCAACTATTCTCCTGGCTTTTTGTTTCTTGCGTCTTGGGCTTATTTTCAGGTGGACTTTTATGAAATTGGGTTTCTTGGTCCTTTCCTACAGTCTTAATGATGATGTGGGGCCTGATTTTTACATTGAAATGTTTATTAATTACAATGTATTTTATCCATATTCCCAAAAGGATTTAGATGATTCACCATATTAAAAACAGTGGAAAAGACAATAGCAAAATAGGATGAAAACTAGTTTTAAAAATTATTTCAAGAAGCAGAGTAATAGTTGTTCCTGGATACTCAACTCAATTAACTATTGACAATGATTAGTAAATTTAACAGAGTTTTCTTGAAACCAGGATACAAAGGCCAACACTGTGGTTTACATAATTCTCATAACATGGTAGGACTTGTGATGATGCTGCACTTTAGATTGAAGTATTACATGAGTGCTTAAAGAACACTGAGAAACATCAAAAAGCATTTGTTCACTAATGGCTTGTAAAAAATTCAGAAATATCTTAAAGGATTTATGTATTTTATACCAAATTTTTAATAAAAGGGAAAACAGAGAACATTCAATACCTTATTAGTCAGCACCAGGAGGCAACAGTAATTAAAAGAGTTTTTGGCTGGTACGGTGGCTCCAGCCTGTAATCCCAGCACTTTGGGAGACCAAGGCAGGCAGATCAGTTGAGTCCAGGAGTTCAAGACCAGCCTGGCTATGGTGAAACCCCGTCTCTATTAAAAATACAAAAAATTAGCCTGGTTTGGTGGAGGGTACCTGTAATCCTAGCTACCTGGGAGGCTGAGGCACAAGAATCACTTGAACCCGGGAGGTTGCAGTGAGCCAAGGTCGTGCCACCGCACTACAGCCTGGGCAACAGAGCCAGACTCTTGTCTAAAAAAAAAAAAAGTTTTTGATAAAGGGGCTGTTCAGAAGTTATGGACAGGGAAGAGGGCAACTACACAGGCTCATGCAGGACAGCAAGGCTGGCAACACTGAGGAGCAGCCATCCTAGATCCCAGGAAGCAAGGGGTGGGGCCACAACTGGAACCCGCGAGTCTGCTGAGAGTAGCTGTGACTTTGGGCTAAGGGACACAGCTAGTCCAGTGTGACCTCTCAGGGAAGGAGCCTCAAAGTGAAGACCAATACCTCAGTCTTCTCCCTCCTTCCCATTTCTCATCATTGCTCCCTATTGGCTGAACACAGCCAGCAGCCAGAGGCTGCGTCAAAGGCCATTTTCCCATGCACAGAGCAGGACAGGGGAGGGTGGGAGAGACCTGGGAGAGTGAATAGAAGAAGTTTCACAGGAATCCTTGCATTTTTATATTCAGTATCTTATTTTTGCTTCACAGCCTGGGAGCAGCTCTCTTTCATGGTTGTGTCTCATCACAGCCTCCAGCATCTGTTGTTCACTCTTCAGCCTGCACTTCAACTATGACAAATGCCTGTGCAAAGGGAACAGTTCTTGCCATCACTCAGCTATTTGTAGATATCAGGGGCTAGAAAGAAAAATGTAAACACAGCCAGGTGTGGTGGCTCATGCCTGTAATCCCAACACTTTGGGAGGTGGAATTGAGAGGATTGCTTGAGCTCAGAAGTTTGAGACCAGCCTGGGCAACAATGGCAAAACCCTGTCTCTACAAAAAATACAAAAATCAGCCGGGCATGGTGGTGCACACCTGTAGTCCCAGCTACTCGGGAGGATCACTTGAACCCAGGAAGTTAAGGCTGCAGTGAGCTGTGATTGTGCTGCTGCACTACAGCCTGGATGACAGAGTAAGATCCTGTCTCAAAACAAAAAACAAAAAAACAAAAAAACAAAAAAACAAAAAAACACAAAGATTTTAAATGAAAGGAAAACATTTTTATTGAAGCATTTGGAGACATATGGCTGAGAATCTATTTAACAGCCACTAAAAAGACACGAGCTTTCCTTTTTCTCTCTTCATGTCATTGTAAATATTCGCATATGCTTCACTTCTATTATATTGGCCCGGGGAATTTGAAAATGTGGTGTGGGTTACAAGAGGGGTAAGAAAAGCCTAGAATAAACTCAGATTAAGGCACAACTCATAGAGTGGTCAGGGATTAATAATACCCTGTTATCTTCCTTTTCCTCAGAGGAACCAATGGATTTTTGTGGGTTATTGAGATAGATGTGTGTGATGTAGAAGGCAGGAGATTTTAGGACTAGGAACACTAGCACAAAATAGAATATGACTTTCTGTGATGGTTAATTTTATGTGTTAACAATTCTAGATGTTTCTGTGAAGGTATTTCTTAGTTGAGGGTACTATTTATCAGTACTCTTTGGGTTAAGCAGATTACCCTCCATGCTGTGAGTGGGCCTTATCCAGTCAGCTGAAGGCCTTAGGAGAACAAAGACTGACCTCCTCAAGCCAAAAGGGATTCTACCAGGACACTGCCTTTGGACTGTCCCCACCCTGCCAGCCTACTCTGCGGATTTTGGACTTGCTGGCCCCCCAAGTTGCATGAGGCAATTCCTTAAAATAAAACTCTATCTTTATACACACACACACACACACACATACACACACACACATTGTGTTGGTTCTGTTTTCTCTGGAGATCCCTGACTAATCATCACTTCCGTGTGGTGTCATGGCAACCCTGGGTAGTTGAGACTTGCCTTGTAGCCTTCCAGGTGGCAGTTCACTTTTGCCGCTAGACGGTCTCTCTTTGATGGTTGTTCTGAACAATGCTCAATCACAGAACAGAGGTCATTGTAACCCTGAATGCTTCTAACAAGGTAAAGGAAAAATAACTTTTTTTAACATTTAAGAAAATAATGGATCTTCCATCAGGACCACATTTTGAATGCTTCTGTACGCAGTCTGACACAGCATAAGATATGGCATTTGGTTGCAGTATTTAATAATAGAAAAGTGAAAGAATCAGACATGTGGAAAAACATTGAAATAAATCTGTTATAAAGGCTTTTAGGTCTTAACAAACTTGTTATTTGTTTGGCAGGAATTTTTTTCTTAAGTGGACGTTGTTTTTTTCCATATAGCCAATATTAGTAGAAAACAACTAATTTTAAGTTTGCTTGTGATAATTAGGGTGTGGGGGGAAGGACAAGACAACATTGAAAATAATAAGAGCCATTTTTTTTTGATGCCAGGGTCAACGAATTACTTTATATCTCACGAAGTCCTCACAGGAAGACGAAGTAAATTCCATGTTACCACATTACAGATAAGAAACATGAGGCTGAGACACTTGTCTAAGGCTTCATAGGTTAAAGAAAAAATGTGGAGTCAAACCTCAAACTAAAGTCTCTTCGGTGCTGAAGTTCCTGTCATTAACCACTACACTATCTCAGATTGGCAATTTTTAATCTCTTCCTTCTATTGAACTGAAGATGTTAGCAAGCAACCAGATTTGTTATTTTTTCCGTAAGTTACTGGGGTACAGGTGGTATTTGGTTACATAAGGAAGTTCCTTAGTGATGATTTCTGAAATATTGGTGCACCCATCACCCGAGCAGTATATACTATACCATATTGGTAGTCTTTTATCCCTCACCCCCTCCCACTCTTCCCCCCAAGTCCCCACAGTCCATTTTTCATTCTTATGCCTTTGTATCCTCATAGCTCCCACATATCAGTGAGAACGTACAATGTTTGCTTTTCAATTCCTGAGTTACTTCACTTAGAATAACAGTCTCCAATCTCATCCAGGTTGCTGCAAATACTGTTAATTCATTCCTTTTTATGGTTGAGTAGTGTCCCACCATATATACATATATATGTATATACATATATATGCAATATATATACAAAATATGTATACAAAATATATACATATACCAACAATATGTGTATTTTTTTGTTCCATATGAATTTTAGAATTATTTTTGCTAATTCTGTGAAGAATGATGGTGGTATTTTGATGGAGATTGCATTGAATTTGTAGATTGCATTTGGCAGTATAGTCATTTTCACAATATTGATTCTATCCATCCATGAGCATGGGATGTGTTTTCATGTGTTTGTTTTATCTGTGATTTCTTTTGATGTATATATCACAGTTTCTTTATCCACTTGTCGATTAATGGGCATTTGGGTTGGTTTCACGATTTTGCAGTTGTGAATTGTGCTGCTATAAACATGTATCTGCAAGTACCTTTTTCATACAATGACTTCTTTTCCTCTGGGTAGACACCTGGTAGTGGGATTGCTGTATCAATGGTAGATCTACTTTTAGTTCTTTCAGGAATCTCCATACTATTTCCCATAGTGGCTGTACTAGTTTACATTCCCATCAAGAGTGTAGAAGTATTCCCTGATCACTGCATCCATGCCAACATCTCCTGATTTTTGATTTTTTTATTATGGCCATTCTTGCAGGAGTAAAGTGATAATGCACTGTGGCTTTGATTTGCATTTTCCCTGATCACTAGTGATGTTAAGCATTTTTTCATATATCTGTTGGCCATTTGTGTATCTTCTTTTGAGAATTGTGTATTCATGTTTTTAGCCCACTTTTTAGCCCGCACCACCATGCCTGGCTAATTTTTTGTGTTTTAGTAGAGACGGAGTTTCACTGTGTTGCCCAGGCTGGTCTCAAATTCCTGAGCTCAGGCAATTCACCTGCCTCAACCTCCCAAAGTGCTAGGATTACAGGCATGAGCCACTGCGCCTGGCCTGCTGAATTCTTTTATCAGTTCTAGAAGCTTTCTGGAGGAGTCTTTAGGGTTTGCTGATGATCATATCGTCAGCAAACAGTGACAGTGTGACTTTCTCTTTACCGATTTGGATGCCCTTTCTTTCTTTCTCTTGTCTGATTGCTCTGTCTAGGACTTCCAATACTATGTTGAAGAGGAGTGGTGAGA